TGATGGTTGTCGGTTAGAGAAACTCCCACAACAATTATTGTATTTTTAAATACATCAGTTCATTTGTATTTCTACATACATCTTAGACTTATTGTATCTTTGTATACACACAGAGTTTATAGCATGTTTTAAACAGCTTTTCTTATATTGCACTTGTTTTAAATCGCCTTATATTGAAATGAGTCAGTCAGGTTGAGTTGAGTTGAGCCAAGGTAAGAGTTCCTTTGTACTCCTTTCAAGCTTAAGTTGTTGTTTAGCTTTCCAGCTCGCATACTCGTACATTCAATGTACTGATGCCAGTTGGCCTGCATCTTATTGTGATGCAGACGCAGGTAATCAGGATCAGCATCCAGCACGCCGTTGATCCAGCTAAGCACTCCAGAGTCAGTGGTGAGCCTCCTTGCTTTCCGGAGGATTTTGTGTTCCTAGTTTTGTTTTATTAGGATGTTGCGGGGTCTGTCCCAACATCCATCTCAGTGTTATAGAGGCTTCATAGACAGTCAGTCAATTAGTATTGAGTCTTTCATCTATGTATATATATAAATATTCTATTTTGAGACTCGAGTTGCCTTTTTGGCTAAGATTTTATCAGTTGGGTTGTTTTATGACCTTTCATTGCATGGAGTTATTCTGTTGAGTTAAGTTTTCCGCTGAGTTAAGGAAGCCAGGCCAAGGGTTCGCTTGGGGCCAGCAATGATCTTCAAGTGATGGCCACGCCCAGGGTATAGGCTCGGGGTGTGACATTCTCGTATCGTTCAATTTGATTTCAGAAACCACTTCAAAATTCCTAGTCCTAACATGAAAGAGCCATGGGAGAACTTTCGATGCAAGGTAGGGCTTGAAAAAAATGCAATTGTATGGTAAATATATTCAATAGAGTATGGAAGAAAGCATAGAATATCTTCGATTATTGGGCCGTGTATGGAGGAAAATGTCAAACGTCTCAGTTAATTTTGAGAGAAAAAGTAGTGATTGTCTTTACTTATACGGCTTAGGACCAAATTTATCACTTTTTTTGGAATACATTAAAGATTATTTCCATCATGTTTATACATTACGGACCAAATGGAACCAAAGCTCGTATATTAAGGAGCATTTTGATCATTTTCGCTTCATGATTGCATAGCAAAGGAGTTCATTTATCTAACTAGCTTTAGTACCTTATGTTTTGGGGTTTCTAATTCTGTACACACAAGCTCAAAAATCCGATGCCTTGTTGCTGTTCATAAATTCAAGTAACAGTTTGCTGTTCATAAATTCAAGTACAGATTGCTGGTCATAAATTCAAGTAACAGGAAATCACAATGCATGGTTAGTAATATTAGTAAAGAACAAAAAAGAATGGCAAGGTAACACATGGAAAAACACAAAGCTCATATATGTAAAATGCATGGTTAAAGGCAGATTCCATAGTAGAGTGTATAGAGTAATAGTCAATAAAAATTGCATTAGGTATCCTGCTTGCAAAGGTGTATTTAGGTGACAGGGTTGATAAAGTAAAATCAAAGTTAAATTGTCAACATCGACCATGTACTAATTCAAACCTCAATGGAAAAGACGTTCAGAAGTAACCTACTTGCTAAAGATACTCCAAGACATACATATTCTGCAGATATAAGATCTCCGACATCTGTTGAAGCTCAAGACTTGTTCTTGCAGCTCTTGTTGTATCTGATAGTCTCAAAAGCTCCCATTCATAATTTTGCGAGGACCAAGTTGTCTCATTGTCTACATTTTGTTGAACAAATAAATTTATTTGTAAAATATGAAGGAAAAACAGGAAGAAGAGAGAAAATATGTCTACTGAAACGCCTGAAGATGGCAGATGCCTTTGTGTCATTTGCAGTTCAAAATCTGGGCAATTTCTTCATACAGGAAGTAAACATGCATTTTAAGTCGAAGAGAGGATGTGCAATGGTTGAGAAATGAGCTTCTCTTCATGCAGTCTTTCCTCAAAGATGCAGAGGAAAATATTAACATTGAATCACATAAGCTGCAAAAATTGCATTCACGTGTCCATCTGAAGTGAATCATAGACAAAGTGTCATATGGGCAAAAAGTATTTCAATGGCTCAAATGTTGAGGGAAAGTGGTGTTCCATAGATACTAGTCCTAGTTGAGGCGTCTAGCTAAGTGAATTCTACTGACAACTTTAAAGGACGGCAGGTGACTTAAGTTTGTATTTTCTTTACTTCATTATATTCTCACCGACAACGCCAATGCCAATTGCCAACTGATGATATCCTAATGGTACTTACTCTTTACCATTTCCTACAACGTAACTCCATCATCTTTATAGAATATTTTTTTACCCTATCGAGCAGGTCTAATGTTCCTTTCCTTTAGCTTTCTTCGTTGTCCTTGCCTATTAACTCAAAAATAGTGAAGAAGAAGAAGAAAACAGGAACATAATTTTCATATTTCTAAAAGAAGCTTTAATACATATTTCAAAAAAAATAAAAGTGCCTTTCACTTAGCTTGCATCTTTATCCTTTTTGATAATGGTTGTCTATCGTAATTCTTTTTTAAAAAACCACATGATTATGTTCCGTTTTTTAAAAACATAAATGGACCCTTTGAACACACTATGTATGTCTTATGAAGGAAAAGAAAATACCTAATGGATGCACTGATGACAGTTTTGGTCAGTTGGAGTTCGTTCTTCTTTGTTAATCTTTGGGACTTGGAGAGTTGGTATTCAGCTACAAGTGCCATTCCTGTTATTAAATATTTGGTAGACATGAGTATTTGAAGCTGTATCAGATTCCAAAATAATGAAAAGTATTGTTATCCTTGTGAATGAATAAAAGGAGCAGGATTTGCATCGTCGCTACCCTGTTTTCTGGCTTTAGATGGATTTTTTGAACAATGCATTATAGGATTTGCATCGTCGCTAACCTGTGCTGAGTGGTTTAATTGTTGCATTTCTCTTTGGTATCAATACAGGTTTAAGTGTCTATTTGTACATACCCAAGTGTCCAACGTGGCATGTTACACATAGGATGTCTATTTGTGCATATCCAAGTACCTTTCCCTTAGCTTGCATCTTTATCCTTTTTTGATAATGGGAGCTTTCATTTCCTGTTGCCTTGTCTAATCGTAATTCTTTTTTCAGAAACCACATGGTCATGTTTTGTTTTTTCTAAACTTTAATCACATAAGTGGACATACTATTTATGTCTACTGCTTTTGAGTGCTCATATCCCATTATCCAACTTGTATTCTTCTATGCTGCTTCCTCTTTTACAGATAAAAATCAAAACTCGTGAAGATGGCTGATGCCTTTGTGTCATTTGCACTTCAAAAATTAGGTGATTTCCTCATACACGAAGTTTCCCTGCTTACAAGTCTCAGAGATGAAATTACATGGCTGAGAAATGAGCTACTCTTCATGCAGTCATTCCTCAAAGATGCAGAACAAAAGCAAAGTAGAGATCACAGAGTTCAACAATGGGTGTTTGAGATCAACTCTATTGCTAATGACGCTGTCTCTATACTCGAGACTTACAGCTTCGAGACTGGTAAAGGTGATGATGGATTTGCTAGTTGTCTCAAGGCTTGCGCTTGCATCTGTAGGAAGGAGAAGAAATTCAATCACTCAAGCAACGAATCATGGATATCTCTCGCAAACGAGAGACTTATGGTATTACAAATATCAATAGTAATGCAGGAGAAGGGCCAAGTAATCAGATTAGAACATTGAGGAGAACTACCTCATATGTGGATGACCAGGATTACATTTTTGTTGGCTTTCAGGATGTTGTACAAACATTGCTAGCTGAACTTCTCAAAGCAGAGCCT